GAAACCTGAAGAGCCCAAGAAACCAGCATATGCTGGCCTACCTGTAGATGAAACGAGTAGCGCTTGGATGGATGTTCTCGATGAGCCAATGACATTCTCTGATGATGAAGAGGAGCCAACTACTACAACAACTACGACGATAGTCGTTGACCCCGAGGAGATTGTTGAGCCTTCGGCTTCTAAAGATTCAGACACAACAGTGAAAGTCACATCAACAACCACTATAACTGAAACTGTGAGTGAACCGACTCTTCCAGAAGAACCAAAGACGGTAGTAATTGAGAAGAAACCTGAAGAGTCCACGAAACCAGCATTTGAAACGAGTAGCACAACCCATGTAACTGAAACTCAACTCGAATCTATAGTACCGGTAGAGCCGCCAACACTTAAAAATGCACCACAGGAACAAACAGTAATGCAGTCGCAACAGATAGCAAATTTGCCGCCCGAAGCACAATCGTGGTCCTCAATCGTTTCAGAAACAATAACAGCTACTAGTCTTGATACTCAAATCACTCGTGAACAAATTTCATCTATTCCAGATGTGGAAGATATCGCTTGCAAAAAAGAGAATATCGCAGCTCCTGTTGATGATAAGCCCAAAAAGCAAAAGTCTAAGAAAGAAAAGAAGATGAAAATTCAATCCGAGCAGGATGTTGAAAAATCAATTTCAGAAGAAGAAATGAAAGTAATTGTACCGAAACTAGTTGAGAATATCGTAGATCCTAAAGTTCCGAATCAGTCATGGTCATCAATTGTTTCGCAAGCGGTTGAGGATTCCCCAGCTATAACTGAACCTGTTAGAGCTGAATCAGCTCAAACACGCCACTTTGTTCAAGACTTTATTCACAAAGAGCAAAGCTTCTCAACAATTGTAAACGACAAACCAAATAAACAAAAGCCTAAAAAGGAGAAAAAATCACCCCATGAAAGTAAACCTATTGTAGAACAATTGGAATCAATTGAAACTATCGAAAATACATCGTCTCAAACTCAGTCGTGGTCCACAATTGTTTCTCAAACTGACTTAATTCCAGATGTGGAAGCGATCGTGTTCAAAGAAGATAATATCGCAGCTCCTGTTGATGATAAGCCCAAGAAGCAAAAGACTAAGAAAGAAAAGAAGGTTAAGAGTCACCCAGAGCAGGTTGTAGAAAAAGCCGTTGCTGTAGAAGAACCAAAGGAAGTAATTACTCCGAATATAGTTGAAAATATTGTAAATGCCGTAGCTCCAGCTCAGTCATGGTCATCCATTGTTTCCCAGACAATTAATGATTCACCAACAATAATTGAAACTACTAGAACTGAAGTAATATCAGAACCAGCTCAAACAGCCCATCACACACAAGACTTCATTCACCAAGAGCAGATTTTCTCAAATATAGTGAACGAAAAACCTAAGAAGCAAAAGCCCAAAAAGGAGAAAGGATTCCAACAACCAGGAAAAGAGACTGAGCCACTTATTGTTGAAGCTAAAGTTGCTGAAGAACAGAAAGAAATTAAGACGGAATCAATAGAATCTGTGGAAGATACACCGAATCAAATACCGTCATGGTCTACAATTGTTTCTCAGACAACAGCTGCAACTCATCAGAGTCAAGTAACTCCCGAATCAGTTTCATCTACTCCGGCTGTGGAAGCTATCGTTTGCAAAGAAGAGAATATTGCAGTTCCTATTGAGGATAAACCTAAAAAACAAAAGTCCAAGAAAGAAAAGAAGGTTAAGAGTCCTCCGCAGTCAGTTGTTGAAAATCCAATTCTTGTTGATGAACGTGAAGAAGTTAGTGAACCGAAATCAACAGAAATCAGTGTAGTTCCCGAAGCTCCAACGCAGTCATGGTCATCAATTGTTTCTCAAGCCGTTGAAGATTCTCCAGCAATACCTGAAACTGTTCAAACTGAAATTACTCAAGCAGTTCCAGTCACACAGAACATACAGGACTTCATTCACAATGAACAAAACTATTCAACTATTGAAAACGAGAAAGCAAAGAAACAAAAGTCCAAAAAAGAAAAGAAATCATCTCAACCTGAAGAAGAAAGTAGGCCTGTGGTTGTCGAGCAACCGGATGATTCGAAGGATCAGGATACCATCACAAGTATTGAGAGTATATCGGCCCCAACTCAGTCGTGGTCTACAATTGTGTCGCAAACAATAACGACAACAACTTATCAGACAGACATTGCACCTGAACCTGTTTCAACTGTTCTTGCTTTAGAAATTCCTGTTGATAAGCCAAAGCCGCAAAAAACAAAGAAGGATAAGAAACTGCCACATTCAGAGAGTCAGCCAGAGCCCGTTCTCGAAAATACTGCTGTAGAAAAATCAGTAGTTGCTGATGACACTGAAGAAGTCGATACAATATCAACAAATATTGTATTTACCGAAGTTCCCACACAGTCCTGGTCCTCAATTGTCTCACAAACTGTTGATGACTCTCCAAAAATAACTGAACCTATTGAAACCGAAAAAATATCTGAGGCAGATCCATCTATGCACCACATACAAGATTTTATCCAAAATGAACAAAACTTTTCATCCACTGTAAATGATAAACATAAGAAACAGAAGTCCAAAAAAGAAAAGAAATCATCTTTACATGACCATGAGACTAAACCTGTCGTTGTGGAGCAATTAGAGAAGCCGAAGGTGTCTGAAACAGCTGAAACTACTGACGATACGCAGTCCCCAACTCAGTCGTGGTCCACAATTGTGTCACAAACAGTAACAACTACGTCTCATCAGACTCAAATAACTCCTGAATCAATTTCATCTACTCAAGATGTGGAAGCTATTGTTTGCAAAGAAGAGAATATCGCAGTTCCTGTTAATGAAAAGCCCAAGAAGCAAAAGTCTAAGAAGGAAAAGAAAGCTAAGAGCCACTCAGAGCCAGTTGTTGAGAAGTCGATTGTTGTTGAAAAATCAAAAGATACAATTAAAGAAAAATCTTCAGGAGTTATTAAAAGCATCGAAATTCCAACGCAGTCTTGGTCATCAATTGTGTCGCAAGCTGCAGAGGATTCTCCAATAGTTTTTGAGACAGCTCAAACAATAACTTCGCCGGAGGACGTTTCTTCTACTGATCAAATACAGGACTTCATTCATACTGAACAAAATTTTTCATCAATAATAAACGACAAATCTACAACACAAAATACTAAAACCGAAGATATAACAAAGCCTGTTGAGGTGGAACATACACTTCTCGAAGAGCAGAAGACACCAATTCATTCAGAATCAGTTGTAACAATTGAAAAGAAACCATCCCAGCTTCAGTCGTGGTCCACAATTGTTTCACAAACAACTCTTCAGACTGAAATATCGGCTGAACCGGTTTCATCTACTTCAAATGTGGAAGCTATCATTTATGAAGATGAGAATATCGCAGTTCTTGTTGATGATAAGAAACAAAAATCCAAGAAAGAAAAGAAGGTTAAGAGCCAACCAGACCCCGTGGTGGAAACCCAGATTCTTCTTGAACCTGAAGAAGTAACTTTACCAAAACCAGCAGAAACTATTGTAAACCCAGAAGTTCCCAGTCAGTCATGGTCATCCATTGTATCACAAGTTGTTGAAGATTCTCCAGCAATAAGTGAAACTATCAAAACTGAAGTAATATCTGAAACAGTTCAAACCACCCAAGACTTTATTCACAAAGAACAGAACTCAACAAATGTAAATGTCAAGCCAAAGAAACAAAAGTCCAAAAAGGAAAAGAAATCATCTTTACATGACCATGAGACTAAACCTGTCGTTGTGGAGCAATTAGAGAAGGTGTCTGAAACAGTTGAAACTACTGACGATACGCAGTCCCAAATTCAGTCGTGGTCCACAATTGTTTCACAAACAGTAACAACAACTCATCTGACTGAAATAACTTCCGATCCATATACTCCAGCTGTGGAAGCTATTGCAGTTCCTGTTGATGATAAGCCTAAGAAGCAAAAGTCTAAGAAAGAAAAGAAGGTTAAGAGTCATCCAGAGCAGGTTGTAGAAAAAGCAGTTGTAGATGAACCAAAGGAAATAATTGCACCAAAACTAGTAGATACCGAAGCTACAGCCCAATCGTGGTCATCCATTGTATCTCAAGTAGTAGAGGATTCTCCCATTATTGAAACTGTTCCAGCTGAAATAATATCTGAGCCAGTTGTACCTACACAAAATATACAAGACTTCATAAACAATGAACAGAACTTCTCAACTGTTGTTTATGCGGAACCAAAAGTCGAATATGATACTGAACCATCGGCTGTAGAGCCCATTATTGTCGAAGAACAGGAGAAAAAAATTGATTCAGATCCAACCGAATCTGTGGTGGATGCACCATCTCAACCTCAGTCATGGTCCTCAATTGTTTCACAAACCACAATAACGGAAACTCGTCATACTGAGGTGTTGCCCGAAATATCAAACGTTAAAGAGCCCATTCATAAAGAAGAGAAAGTTCCAGTGAACGACAAGTCCAAAAAGCAAAAGTCCAAAAAAGAGAAAAAACCTGACTTTTCTGTGCCTGTTCCCGTCAAAATTGTTGAAACGAAAACGGAAACATATGAAACTAATGTTATGACAGAAAATGTCCCGAATACCCTGTCATGGTCGTCTATAGTTTCACAACAAACCGAACCTGTTGAACTTGAACTGACTATAAAACCAAAATCCAAGAAAGATTCACCCAACTCAGCACTAACGTCAATTACGGCTAAAAATGTGACAAGCATTGTTGAGGAACTGCCAGTGGAAATAAAGGAGAACACGTTGTCCATTGCTGATGAAACACCAGCTAAATCTCAGACATGGTCATTAATGGTATCGGAAGCAATCGATGAACCGTCCCATAACATAGATGAGTTTATCCGCCACGAGCAAAGAGTTACGATTGCTGAAGACAAACCGAAAGCAAGGAAGGAAAAAACTAGAAAAGAAAAGTTGCAAGAAAAGGTAGATCAAGAACCCACCCCCACTTACGAAGAAAATGTTATAGCTGAGGAATCTAAGAGCGAAACAGAACCGAAACCATTGCCTGTAGAGCAACCCAGTTCACTAGATTTCAAGATTGATCTGCCAAAACCAAAGCCATCCGTCTGGTCCTTATCCGAGACTTACGCCGAAGTCGTTAAAAAGTCGGGTTATGCCAACACTACCCAAATTCGCTATCAAGACACTGAATCGGACAGTCAAAGCAGCATTGAACCTACAAGAAATGATCAAGCCCAATCCAAATTAATCGACGAACGACTTGAGAGTTCTTCTACTGTATTAGCCGAGGAATTCCCTGATCCGGTCATTCCTGCGTCTGATGACAGATTTGACGAAGTGCTCGAATACTCTGAAAAGCCATCATTGTCTTGGAAGGAAATAATGGATGAAGAAGTCGATTTGGAAATTCCGGCATGGACACCTTCTGAACCACAGTTAAAGGAAACCACTGTAGAGCCCGTAATAGAAAGGCCTTCCCGCACAATTGGCCGACCATTAATAAAAGTCACTGAAGTTGAGAACGTCAATGTACAAGCCTTGCCGCAGGATGACCAAGGTTTCCTTGAAATAGTTTCAAAGAAAAGGAATCGTTCTCGATCGCGCTCACAGCAATCACAAAATTCCAATGTGGGTGAAAAGCCTCAAAAGAAAAAATCAAAGAAACCAAAAGAAAAGCCGATTATGCCACAAAAAACATTGGCTGAACCATCTCCTGTAATAGAGCCTTCTACAAACAAGAGTACTGCACGTGTTCCCTTAGAAGACAATAGCCAATCGACTCCAGCACCCATTCCGATTACATCGGGTATGTCATGGGCGGCAATCGCTGCTCATAATGTTCCAGAGCCTCCACAACAAATAAGACTTATTCAAATTGATACAAAACCAACAACATTTGACAATGTAGAGAAAAAGTCAAATAGGGACATGACAGTCAATATACCGCTTAAATTAGAAACGGAACCAAAAACTAAGAAACCAAAGCAGAAATCGAATAAAAAATCTGCTATGGATATTGTTGACTTTATAAATGCTGAAAAAGAAACTTCACAACAAATTAAGCCACCAGAGCATACGCAAGAACCAACTACAACAATTACACACCAGTCTCATGAAGAAACTCAACCAGTTAACTTGACTTATACCTCTGAGATCATAACTAGTTTGGAAAAGAAAATTGAAAGTCATATTCCAAATGAAACTGTTGTGAGAGCTGTTCAACCTATTGAGGATCAACCTGTTGTTGAGAAGACACCATTGGCTCCATTTAAAACTATTGAAGAAACTAGCACCATAGTAACTTTAACAGAAGAGAAGCCATCATTGACAGCAGAACAAATAGAAGCCCCTGCAAGTACCGAAATATCACTTGTTTCAGTAAAACCCACTGTAGAGCAAACAGCATTGGCTCCATTCACAACTACTGAAGAAACATCCATAGTAAATATAACAGAAGAAAATCCATCTTTAGCATCAAATCAAACGGAAGTCGAGGAAATGTCTGTTGTTTCAGTAGACGCGGCTGAGCCCATTGCAGAGCAGACACCATTGACTCAATCTGAAACTATTGAAGAGAAATCAGATGAGAAACCATCCTTGACACCAAAAGAAACAGAAGTCCTTCAAATCGAGGAAATCTCTGTTGTTTCGGTAGACGCGGCTGAGCCCATTGCAGAGCAGACACAATTGACTCAATCTTCACCTACTGAAGAGAAATCAGATGAGAAACCATCCTTAACACCAAAACAAACAGAAGTCCCTCAAATCGAGGAAATCTCTGTTATTTCAGTAGACACTGTAGAGCCGACATCCGAAAAAACACAATTGGCTCAATTCAATATTACTAAAGAGCCCATTAAAACAGTCACTTTAGTTGAAAAAACAATTGAAGTTATTTCGGATAATACTGAACAAAAAGAAACTCCTGAAAATCTAGAGATAACTGTTTCTTTAGTCGATACGGTAGAGCCTTCCGAACAGACACCATTAGCTCCATTCAAAACTATTGAAGAATCCAAACCTTCTTCAATACTAACTGAAAATATTTCGGAGAATATCGAAACAGTAGAAACAATGGAAACTCAAATTGCTGAGGAGATAACTACCCAACAGACTCCCACATCCGGTAAAGATGCTTTTATATGCGAAACATCTTACTGGTCTGCTACATTGAAACCCGGTCAAAAACCAGTGACAACGAGTGAGAAAGTCGTGAAATCGATTGAAACCGAAACTAATGATAAATCACCAATTACTGTTGTAATACCTGCAGACAATACCATTCAAGAAGTGCCTGTGCAATCTCCAACAGATCAACCAACAACATGGTCAGCTATAGTTCAAACGGAAACAAAGGTATTCCTGTCTCCAGTTATCAAGGAAAACCCTGTAGCTGTGCCCGCCTGGTCCACTGTTGTAATTAGCAAGACAACAGATTTCCAAGATCCCAAGCAACAGCAAGATCTTGAGCATCAGGAAACAACAACTACAACTACCTATGTAACAACAACAGTGACAACACACAAAGATATTGAAACTACTGAGGAAAAGCCAACATCATATGTATCAACTGTTCTAACAACGCATTCTGCTGACTTGGCAATTGAGCCAGAGTCCAAGGAAACAAGCACAAAAGCAATTGAAACAAATGTGGTAAATAGTTTGGATACACTTAGGAAAAACCTAATACTTGAAGCACAGCAATTATATCCCAAATATAACGTGGTGGAAAGTCAGTATGAAATTTTCAAACAGAATAAGCCCAAAGAACTTTCGCCCGAGACTATTGCCGAATCGCCCCAGGATGAGACATTTATGAATGATTATGTGATAATTGAACCTGAAGCATTACCCCAAATTAATTCTGAAATTCTTGCATTCAATTTAAGCCTTGACAAAGAAAATCTTTTGCGTCCCCTTCCTTATGATTCCATTGCTCAGTTGCATCTTTTAAACATAGAAAAGTCCGTTGATCCCAAAGTAGAAGTTAAGGAAAAGTTGCTTGTGGAACAGCCACAAACTAAAGTTGAGGAAGTAGTTTCTGAAGAAGACCTAAAACAACCCGCAACTGAAGTATCAACTAAAGTTGATACAGAAACAATAGTCGAACCCAAACCTGAAATTGAAAAAGTAATACTCATTGATAACTCATTGGAGTCGATTACGACACCTATATCAATAGCTGAAAAACCAAGTGAACTAACTTGGCATCTGAGTCAGGATAGTTTCTTGAATTATAGGCAAAGGGCAGATGATGCGTACGGACTACTAATGACGATTACTAAAGACTCGACCAAGACGGATTTAGAAAAAACTCAGGAAACCCAGGACGATAAGCATAAGACTGACATCATTACTGAAACTGTAGTGAAAACGACCACGGTTACAGAATCAAGCCAATTGATAACTGATAACGCTGTAGATAAGACTGAACCAGAAGCATCGTCAATTGTAAGCATTCCTAAGGTAGAAGTGCCAGCAACAGCACCTGTTGGCGGCATTGATGAGTTACGTCTAAATCTTTACCTTGATGACTGGCGAAAACCCAGCATTGATGTGGATTTATACGAGACAAGCATCGAAAGACCAAAACGTGCTGATGTTGCGGACATTGATACAAAACCAGACAAAGACAAGAAACCCGATGATGTTATCAACCAACCAGACAAAAAGAACGACGATAGTGACGACGATGACGACGACGATGATGATGATGGGGATAAACTGACTGTGCCTGAAATTCGTAAGCCACACGACGATGACGACAAACCGAACGACCGCGATCCTGGTAGTGGTAGCAGTGGCAATGCAACGCCCACACCCGAGCAAGATGCAGCTCAGTACGAACAAAATCGCAGCTGCTCATCGGAGTATATGTCAACCGATTTGCCGGGCGGCGTAGGTCACTGGCGGGACCAAAGTACTTATTTGGCTTTAGAAGCCGAGCCTCAGGTTAAAATAGAATCGGCACCAACAGTAGAGTCTAAGGATGTTGTTCTAACCGAAACTAAAACCATTGAGCTGGTGCCTTCTGTGCCAGCTGAATCAAACACTCTCACAACAACAACAACACCCGAAACAAGYCCCCCCACCCCATCCAATGCTACAAACTCAGCTAACGTTGCAAACGCACTAATCCAATTGGCGAGCGCCACAACTCAGACGCTGAACGTTGCTGCCAATGCGGCAGCAACAGCAACTAAAGCTAAAACTCTGGCAGCGACGAGCGTCATTTTGCCAGTTGCAGCGGCCGTTGTTAATAAGCTAACAACAACAATAACATCGCCAACACCAACGCCAACACCAGCACCAACATCAACGCCAACGTCGACAACACCAGTGGAGACAACAATCCAGCCCGAGCAGTTGCCGCAACCGCAAGCACTCAAAGCACCAGCTGCTGTTGAGTTGCCAGCAACAGTTGCTGCTGAAATGGCAACGACAACAACTACAACAAGCGAAGAACCCAATGAACTGTCTCTGGAAGCAGCTCCTGTTGAGAACACAAATATCGTTAAGCGAACTGTAGTAACGACCACAACGGTAACGACAACAACAACCAGTGAAACGGCAGAAGCAGCAGCAGCAGCAGCACCATCAAAACCAGCCCCAGACAGCAGCAACACAATGACAACGACAACCACAACAACAACAACAACATCGAGCAACAATTTGCTTGAGCCCCAACAGCAACGCCAGAAGGTGAAAATCACATTGAGCGTTCAGTTATTCATAATTCTAATATTTGCAGCTTTTTTGTGTGGTTTTGGTATTTGTTCATGGCTTTTATACGGCAACCGCTCTAATTGTTGTTGTTGTTGCGGCACTGCCTGTAACAATAGCTGCCAATTGCTGCCACCAACAACAGGGGCACAACCTGGCAATGGCCTACAGTAAGGTCGACCATGAGTTTGCTGTTCTTAGCTATGTTGGAATTTGGCAGCATGGCAAGCGCCCAAACAATAACAAATAACAATAACAAATAATAATAACAATAAAGAAAATACACATTAAATTATCTATCTTGTCTATCTATCTACTATATAAATTCCTATTATACTAACGTAACTCAATTTTTTATAGAAAAAAAGTTAACTTAGAATTTGCATTTTTATTTTATTAAGTTTTTATTTTGTTTATTTTTGTATATCTGTATTGTACGTGTTGTTTTGCTAAAGTCATCCTTATATTAAAACTACATTTAAGATTCAACGTATGTTTAAGATTGATATACACGATTCCTTCTATCTACTTAGAGTGATTTTTGATTAATGCATTACCAAATGTTCCTTACTAATTGATCTTAACCTGTTGTAAAATCCAGCTACTACTAATATCTATAGTAGTAATGTTTCAGAGTCAAACTCAACATAATAAAATAAATATTAACCAACCTGCACGTTTTAATATATGTATACGTATTGAAATCTATTTTAGATACATGTTTTGCACTGTTTTATTTTCGTATAGGCACATACACTCTCGCACACACACACACACGGGCACGCAGTTTCACAGATTTGCACTTGCACACAGTGCTGCTCAAAAGTGTGCACACCCCATGCACAGGTTTTCTAGCAGAATATGCCCATTGCTATGCATCACACGATTGTTAACTTATGAGTTCATTGCCTTCTCGTCTGCCGCCCTGCAGCCCTCGCCAAATGTTAAGCGATTTTCCTTTTCCTTTTGTTCTTGCGGCATTTTCGCTATAAATAAATTAGAGATCCATGCAATGCAGCCCGTATTACTTACTCAAAAATATCTCAGACAGCGCAAATGTGTGTTTTGCATTTGATTCTTTTAGTTTAGATCGCGAGTTCAATGCGAAATGAGCACAATTTTCACGAAAATCAAATTCTTGAATTCTTAAAAAACTGTGTTTAAAGGGCTGCCAAAATTGAAATACATGACATTTGTGAGTGCAAGTGCAGAATATATTGAACAGTAAAAAAATGTGTGGAGTACCCTAAATTTACAGAGCAACGAGACAAGAATAGCAGTATGAAAATTTCTATATTTCCTTCTTTTTTTTTCAAATTATATTTTTTTTTTACCCTGTACCCATAAAGGAGTTTAAAAGGTTTACCAAAGGTTTGAATATATATGAAATACCCTGGAAAATAAGTATGTATTTATATTTAATAATTTGATTATCAGTCCGTCTTCAAATATCAGCTTATCTTCTTTATTTATTTATTTTTATTCTTTATTTCGTATACTCCTAAAATTTAGGCTTTTGAATTTCATAACAATTGCTTAACTATATATTTTAGTATGAATATAAACTATTTCTATGAATATCTGAATTTTGAGTTGAATGGATGGTATGGGAATATTAATATTTTTTTTGTAATTTTCTCGAGACAATTCCGTATACAGAAACATATTCTTTCCTTGAATAAATTTTTTTGTGCTTCATGTGCATAATAGTCTATAACAGTTCTCTAATTTCAAATTTATAAAATAAAATACTATATTTATACCTCTGGGTACAGGGTCGTGTCAGTCGTGCCTGTTCGACTATATCTCAATTTCGCTGGTCTCTTTAACTTGCTTTTAAAAAGTATCTATAAGAGTATGTATTCTATGTATATTTCCATAAGCTAGATCTGCTTGCCATTATGTTCAAATTATTTTTCCAAAACTATTAAGAATATTTTAAATATAGTTTCAGTTAAGTAAGTTTCGTCTTTTCGCCAGGAGTTTCTGCATTTGGTGCTTTTGTCTATCCGCTGTCCCCTTCGCCATTTATTCATATTCTGCTGGCCATCATATTTAGCATAAGATTTTTGTATTGCCATAAACGCATGCGTTATGTTAAATACAGTTATATATCTATGCCAACTATACTATACTTTAAGAAGATATTTGGCCGTGTCTTTGCATCTATCAAAGAAAAATAATACACACTGTCATGTAAATATGCTGTTGTTGAGTGTGTATAGAAGCCGGCAACAAATATTTCCAGTTTCGATAAGCTATTTGATGCAAAAATATGCCGTGTTTATTTTAATTAACATGTTTATTAATATTCCCCCCACACATTGCACACATGTGACACAATGCAATTATATATATAAATACGAATATATAGGATACCATCACTCAAGAGCTCGACGAACTACTCCAATCGCTCTCAACCATCGAGGATGGCATTGGAAATATGAACCACAGCAGCTTGGAGGGCATGCAACAGGGACTGAAGGTAATTGTTATGTTGCGTTTGGAACGCCTGTGTTCGATCAAGCACGTTCTTCTTTTCAATAAATAATAACTAGTAGTTAAATAATCATACTGACACTGTATATACTCGTAGTTAATGATTACCTGCAATTTAAGCGAATCGATTAATGGATGCTGGCGTGTGTCACACAAGTTAAATAACACAATCGCATCATTCCATAAGCAATCGTACAAATCTTTAGCTATACATATATGTTACAGTTGGAGGCTCTCTGATTAGCGTAATTTTAGTTTTGATTATTACAATCCCATACGGTTATACTATATAGTAGTCGAACCTTTTGATGTCTTTGAATTTGTTATTCAGTTCATATATATATACATACAACACAATTTGTGTTTTTATTTAATTTTAATTTTTTTTACGTGTTGTTGATGTCATTGGGACAATCGTTTGGTTAATGGCTCTTTGTTTTACCTGATGCACAGCTAATCCAAAAGAATCTGGAAGTACATGAGAAGGAAGCCCTAAAACTAAAGGATCAAGCTAAGACATTGCCAACAGACCCAGGAACTGAGCGTTTGCTAAACGAGACAGTAGATCGCATCGATCTACTGTTGAGGCGCACACAACAAGGCATTTCCATGATAGCCGTGAGTATCGTCAGTCTATCTATATATAGCTGGAATTTATCATTAAACATTTCGTTTTCACAGAGCGCGATGCATGGTCAAAAGAAGCGCGAGGAGGAGATCGACGAGTATCAGAAGCATTTGTTGGAGCTTGAACGCTGGATCAATGACGTCTCGGCCGAACTGGCCTCGTTCGAGCCCACCCCTGATAGCAGCACCGACGAGCATGTGCTAAAGACACAGGTGGAGCGTAGTCAGCAATTGCTGCGCACTCTGAAGGATCGACAGCAGTCCATGGATGATTTGGTGGAGCAAACGCGTGAGCTGCAGACACACCCCGATGTGGCGCCATTGGCCGACACGCTGATGGAACAGCTGCAGAGCATCATTATCATCTTGCGGGAGCAGATCACCGTGGCCACCAAGCGCGTCTTCACCATTGAGAAGCGCATCGTGGACCTGCGCAAGGCCAAGCGAGATGAGTCACAGCGTCAGCGCGTGCTGGCCGATGCACAAATACTGGCACCAGTCAGTGTTAGCGCAGCGCCCGAATCCATCGAGTCCAATGAGAACACAATTGACTCGAGCTCCATGCCGGAAGAAGAGATCAAGCCCACTGGTGTTTATGTGGAGACACAAACATCACTGAGCTTCCAGCAGCAGCCGGAGCAACAACAGCCCCAGATCGAAACTAGCAATGTGGAGGCGCAGACCAGCTTCCAAGAGCTTCCGCCGTTGGCCGCCATCGAGACTGCAGAAGTCGCGCTGCAGACAATCAAAGAACGTGCACCGACTGAAAACATAATGGTCACACAGACTGTGCAGGATGGCCAGGAAACGATACAGATTGACACACAGCTCAATAAGAATATACCCGAATCGCCGGAGGATGTGGAAATCGAGGCGCGTTACCATCAACAGCCCAAGGGCGATGTGGATCGAGCCACAGAACTGATCATAAAAAATGTGCCACAAGCTTTCGAAACGACATTTGTTGAGCCCGACGAAACCACAACCGAGGTGGTTGTGGGCGCTGATGGCACCAAGCACATTGTCGTGAAGAAAGTCACGCGAACGCGTCAGCAAATTGTGCAGCAGCAACAGATTAGCTCCATTGAGACAGTCAGCGATGCTGACGGTAACATTGAAGTGCAGTCAACCGGCCAGATAAATCTGGAGAATGTGCAGACTACGGACACTGTGGCTGACCCAGACCAGAGTGCCTATCGCACCGTGGTAACGCAGCAAACGCGCGGCACGCTGCTGGATGGCTCCCAGCCGGAGGCTGTGGTTGTCAGCGAATTCGAGACGGAGCCGGTTATTGAGAAATACGAACAGCTACTGAGTCCCGATGCGCAAGGCAACTTGCAGCCATTCCGTGCAGCGGCCGGCGAGTCCACAGTTGACGGTCTAGGTGGTCTAGGTGGCAGCAGCATACACACAGTTTTGCAGCAGGTGACTCGAAAGGTCATACGCAAGACGCGTAAGATAATCAAGCGTGTGGTCATCATCGATGGCAAGGAGCACGTGACTGAGGAGGTGGTTGAGGAGCCCGAAGAGATTGAGGTGACTGAGGAGGAGACAATGCCGCATGTCAGCGTGAACATTGTGCGCACGGTGAATGGCAAAGTGGTGAGCGAGGAGGAGTTCCAGAGCATGATGCAGCAGCCGGGCGTAGTTATCGAAGAAGTTGCAACGGATCTGTCACAACAGACAGTTGAACCGCCGCAACAGGTATTTGATATTGAGTCTATCAACATCTCCAACACCACCACCACAACCACACAAGAACAGACATCACCAACAACTACAACAACAACAACAACAACTGCAACTGCAATTACAACAGAAACGACTAAAGCAGCACCTGTAGAATTGCCAGCACCTCAAGTAGACATTGAAGAAATCGTAAATGTTGAAACTATCAGTCCCGTTAATGTTGCAGAATCTGCAGTAACAGTACCTCAAGAGCCCACAACAACTACTCAAGTAACCACCACTACCACTACCACCAAAACAACAGCAACAACATCAGATGGCCAACCCGTGGTGGAAGATATTAAGGAAATTTGGCCACAGGAGCACCATTTGGTATCCACAAACATAGACTTCTCCCAGCATGTCGAAGAGGTGGCACCACCAACAGTTCCCACCAGTCCAGAGACATCAATGCCTGCCGAAACCATTTGGCCAACTAGTCCAGAGACTGGCAACTCCATTTCACTGGAATCGTATGTGTTTGAGCCAACGATCCCAACCGCTGTTAGCATCAAATCCGAGACAACAGAGGAAACCCAAGAAAAGACTGAAAAGCAGCCGGAAGAGCCTATACCTAAATCCAAAATTGACATAGAAGCCTTCCTTGCAGCTGAAAAAGCACAAGCTCTACCCGCCATAAGCAAACCTGAAAAATCCGCTGAGCCGATAGCTCAACAGGTTGAACCAGCAACTCAGCCAGAAACAATTGCGGAGCAAATTCAACCAGAAATTGTAGAAGTTGAAGAATCTGTGATAGAAGTGCCTCCCATCGATATTGCCGATAAGGAGCTGGCGACGCCACAAACCGATATAAATGTGGCCACACAGCTATTTATTATGGGCGAGGCAGCCGCAGCGGACTCGCCGCGCAAGACCTATCAGATAACGGCGCCCTCTATTGAGAGCACTGGAGCTGGTGTGCTTAAGGTTGCCATGGCACCGACGACAGAGCTTGAGGAAAGCAGTGCAACGACAACACCTGCTAAGGTAACCATGACCATTGTGGAGACTGTCACAGCACCTGTAGACCAGGACGACGATGCGTCGACGAAGCGAAGTCGAAAGAAAAAGAAGAGAAGAGATGAGCCAGACGAAACGATTGAACAAAAGCAACCAGAGCCGTTGCCCGTCCCCACTCCCGCTCCCGTTCCCGTTCCCGTTCCCGCGTCCGACATTGAGCCAGAATCAGTCCACGAAACAGGCTACGAGCCAGACGAAAAGTCGGTGAGTGAGAATGTTGATGAGGATTCGGCTGATTCGAAGAAGAAGCGTCGCAAGAAGAAGAAGCAAAAGGAGAAATCACAAGAGGAGGAATCACAGGTACCGCTCTCTTCCGATCACTCCCTGCGTGATGATACGACCAGCGTGGAGTCCGAAGGTAAATTACGTCACGAAGCAGTCGTCGAGATCAGCACAGAGAGTGAATTATCGAGCATGGATATTGACCAGAGTGTCAAAGTGGTGGAAGACTCGATCATACCCTCACCCACAGAGCAGTCGCGTGATCCATTTACACACGTGGTTATACCCACAGAGATTGTAGAGCTGGCGGTTCTCGAAGATGTGGAACAACAGACGACGCCACGTGTAGCCACGCCTCCGACAACTGCCACTGAACAGGATATGAAGTCTTCTCAGACCTCTCCCCAGCACATGCCCAAATTGGATGAGACAGCGGTACAAACGAGCATCGAAGTGCAGCCGGCTAATCAGGAGAGCGAATCGCAGACCCTGATTGTGGAAATTACCGAAACCGAAGCACAGACAACGCCGCGCACCACTGAGCAGCCCGATCCCATTGAGACACTCAGCACGGAAATGCAAACCGATGAGAATGGCCAGCCTCGGCCAACAATGGAAATTTCCAGCCAAACCATTGTGACAACCACCACCGAAAAGGAGCTGCAAACCACTCCCAAAGATTCACCACGTTTGGCTGAATCAAGCAGTGACCACATCATCCAGCCCCTAGTTACAGAATTGGTTAAGGACATGACCATTGACTTGCCCGTGCCCACAAGGGAGCAGTCCACATTCATGGAGGATACTGTCACCAAGGAGACTCATATGCAAACTATAACGCCCGAGCCAACTGAAGTGGTGGCTAGTCAGCCTGAAGCACCTGTCGAAGTCAGCGATGTTCTTGTGCAGACAACGCCGCGTGAAGAGCCACAGCCGATCTCCCTGGACGATAACTCCTTGACAGCCACATCCATATCGGAACCCTACGAACTGGAGGTGCGAACCACAGTGGCCATTCCCGCGGATTCGGATACGTCTGTGGTGGAGCCAACGCTGTACGAATACACACAAACGATGCAGCTGCCCAAGCCCGAGAGGAAAAAGAAGAGCAAGGGCAAGCCCGTGCCACAGCCAATTCCAGCGCAGGATTCACAGATCAGTGTAAGCGTCGAGATCGCACCCGAACTGTTGGGCGAATCGGGCATTGTGCTTTCGACCAACCAGCAAATTGAAGAGGTGCCACATCTGCCGCCAGTGCCGGACTTTGAGCCCACTGAAGCAGATCAGCAGAAGCCACCGCAGCGCGTGCAGTTGCAGATCACAAAGACCACGGTATACGATGAATACCCCGACTTGCCGGTGCACATTGTTGAGCAGAACAAGGTGAGCATTGCCGCACAGCAACAGAGCGGCAAGCCACGCGGTGGACCGACATCTTCGGTAACCATTGAGGAAGTCGCCTCACCCACCGAGGAGGTGGTGGTGCCCATAACGCCAGGGCCAGATAATCTGAACGAACAGGATGTCTGGATAGCTGCAACGGGCACCACAACTGTGGATCGCACTCCTATTCAAGCCTCTCAGGACCTCATCATGAGCGAGGGCTTGCAGCTGTATCCGGGAACACAAACACAGTTGGCCAAGGAGGCGATAGGCACTCGCATCAAGCAATTGAAGGAGACGACGCCACAGCAGCCAACGCCGCTTACCGATGTCCTGCACTTGGCCACACTGTCTGAGCAGATCAAGCAGCTGCCCACCTATCAGCGTGTGGAAGAGGTCAACGAGGGATTGAAGGATTTGGATGAGGCAATACGCAGAGGCGATAAGACTGTTATTCACACCACGGTCATCACAGTCATTGAGAAAGTCTCGACCTGGCTGGAAACTATCGAGTATCGTGTCTATCTCATACGTCAAAACTCCAATGAAGGTCCATCGGAGCAGAAACTGGACAACTACAAGGAGCTGAACAAAGAGCTGTCCACAGTCAAGGCAAATGTCAGTCATCTCGAGGGACAGCTCGCCCGAACGGAGAAACCGACGCAGGCGGAGCTGTCTGAGTGCGTGGACACGCTCAAGGAACACATCGATGCAGTGGAGCAGGTGACACAACAGAACCAGGCCCAGGACATCAAGGATCTGGAGAAGTGGCAGAACTTTGAGCTGCTCTACAGAGAAGTCACCACATTGCTGGATTTCCTCCAGGAACGCTACGAGCTGGCAATCAGTGAGGAGCATCCGCTGTCCAGAAAACTGGCACTGCTCGATGACCTGGAGCAGAATCATGTGGCTGGCCAAGAGCAGTTGAGTCAACTGATGCAGACGGCACGCTTCTTCCAGCGTGATTTCCCCAACAAGCAAATACCACAGGATGTGTACAGCACGTATGAGAAGAGCAAGAATATTGGCAACAACATCGAAGCGGAACGCGAACGACTTCTCCAGCTGCTGTTGCTGGCCGAGGAGTACGAGCAGACGCTGAAGAAGTTCACCAATATCACGGTGCTGGCCGACAAGATGATGGAGAGCCCCATTGTGTCCAGCTCCCTGGAGCAGTTGAATAACGAGGTGCAGAAGCAACGCAAGTTCTTCGTCAATCTGAGCCACTGTCGCGCCATGCTGGAGTCGCTCGAGGAGAACATTGATAGCGAGACGCGTGAGAAGCACTCGGAGCTGCACAAACAGCTCTACCAGAAGGCCACGCAGCTGCTGGAGCGTGCTTCGGAGCGTTCCTCGAAACTGGTCCAAGCCGCCTCGCGCTGGACCGTGCTGGAGCGGGGCATGCGCGACGAGCTGCAATGGCTGCAGGTGGCCCAACAGCGTGTGCCAGATCTTTCGGCGGTTACATCCGCCGACTATGATCAATATGCCACGCTCTACCAATCCCTGAGCAACGACATCTCGCACCACTATGTCAAGATGACGCAGCTGTCGGGCATAGCCAACAAGATGCAGCTACTGGTGCAGGCGCCCAATCTGGTCGAGGAAACCAACGATGCCTTGATTGTGCTGCTGAAACTGCGCGAGGAGGTGGCGCTCTATTTGCACCGCCTGCTCGTCTTCAAGGAGATCTGGGTGCAGTACGAACAACAGACCGAGAAAATGGAGGCATTCGTGCGCGAAGCAGAACAGGAACTGCGCCAGATCCAAATACCAAAGCAGCCCACTGAGCAGCCCATTCCGCATATCAGGCAATTTTGGGAGATTAAGGCCCGCTTCGAGCTGCACAACAATATACGGAACGATGCAGGCCATAGTCTCGAGAAATCCCTGCAAGTGATACCGCTGGCCGACGAGATGTTGCAGCGGCAGTTCCACGCACAGCTCGAGGATCGCTGGCAAGCAGTGGCCCAGGCCATCGAGCAAATACAACGCAATATTGTGGATTGTCTCTCCTCGGAGGATATGGCCGCTGACGAGAAACTCAAGCTGGTGGAACGTGAGCTGCAGGAAATCTACCTGACCATGACCAGCATGAAGGGCGTCATCAAGAACGAGGAGGAGCTCTGCCTGTACATCGAGCGTGTCCAGGTGCTGCGCACACGCGTTGGCTTCATTGGCAACGAGCTGGGCCGCATTGGCCTCCAGGAGCCCACAATTGAGCCAGAAAAAGTGGGTGAACTGTTCGCGCTCTCGCACAAGATAACGACACAAATAACCGAGGAGCTGGAGTTCGCATCTGTGCTGCGGGATCAGCTGCAGGCCATCCACGAGGGCATCAGCAATCAGCGCAAGCATCAGGCCAAGATCTCAGTCATCCTGGATGAATGTGAGGCCGCCGAGCGCCAAGGTGCCGACGTTATCGAAAAGGCCGTCGCCGATTGCCAGGGCGCTGGCGAGGAGCTCGTGGGTAGCTGGCAGGAGATAATGCGCATACGGCAAATGCTCCACACGCTGCCCATGCGCCTGAAGATGTCCGTGTCGCCGGTGAAGCTGGAACGTGACATTTCTCAGCTGCAGGACGATCACGCCTTCCTCGAGAGCAAGTGCACCAATATTATGGCCATACTGCGTAATCGTCTGGCGCTTTGGCTACGCTACGAGCGCCAGCTGGAGCTGGTGCATGGCTCTGTCCAGGAGACCGACTTCATGATGGAACTGATACGTGTCCACGGCCAGGTTGACTACGAGCGCCTACGCAAGGCCACCGAGAGATTGGAGGTAAGCTGTTTGTTTATGTAGTCAGTGATTTATGAGAGGAACTCGGTCGACAGCCATCGACCAGGCTACCTGCCTCTCAATGGAATTTTTTTTTTGCCAGCCTTTATCAGTAACTCGAGAATCGCTATAAAGTCGCGTGCGTTTTCTGCCTATAAAATCGCGTGCGATTTCTGCCTGCCTTCAGTACGTCACGAACTTCTCAATATTCCGCAGCTAAATTTAACTCAGTAATTCGTTCGAAAAATAAAAAGCTACTGCTGGTGTAGCTGATACAAAGCTCTTATACTGAAAAGCTCTCTTCGAAAAATAAGCTTTCGTGCATTGCACTTGCTTTGAGTTTCGTTTCGCCGTTTCTCACGCAGTTGACGCTCAAACTTCGAATCGCGCGCGTATCGCGTGAATTGTTGCTCCGCGCATATTCATAAATATTAATTTATATTTTAATATTTTTTTTGCTTGGCGCTTTCGCTCTTCTCCCACAACCCATTCGCACGCTCAGGGCCTTGCGGGCGATCTGCATAGTCGGGAGCAGCTGCTGGACGAGCTTAAGGGCGCCGCCAAGCCGCTGATCGAAAGCTGTGATGTGCAGATAGTGGAGCAAATTGAATCATCCGTACAGGATGCGGTAGTCGCCTGGAATGATACCACCGAGAATCTGCAACAGCTCTGCACACGCTACCAGCGAGCCGTTGAGCTCTGGGACAAGTACCGGAACGCCTCAGCAGCGGTCAAGAGCTGCATTGAACAGCAAATGGACAGCGTCAAGTCGTTGGAGCAACCCTTGGAAACCATGCAACATGCCAAGGTAAGTGATTCGTAATTGTTCTAATTGTTCGACGGGGTGAGTTGGGGTGGTGTTCACGGTGGAGTTTTTTTTTGCTGCTACCAACTTTTTTGGCGGTAAAAAAACGACGTCGACGACTTTTAATTGCCGTACACACATGGACCGGACCGGGCCGTAATTACATTGATTTTCAGCCGTAACGCTCGGCCCAATCAATTTTCGGGCGCGTCACTGTAATCGCCTGTAACTGAGTACATGGAAATTGGCTGCCAGTGAGCTAACTCTTATGTGCATAGACACATATATATGTATATGTGTGTGTGTGTTGATAGCTATGCATATGTGTGAGTTAGTGTATATTGGTTGTTTGTGTCATAAATTATTTTGTTTGACACAAAAATGGGGAAAGACAAACGTGGTGAGGCAGCCCAAAAAGTTGTAATACTCTTGCAATTGGTTACACGGACTTATAAAGCAAATGTACATATATGTATTTATGTATAACTCGATAACAAGCTAGCATTTCGGTTCAAGAGAGTTAGCTGTCTTTTTACTAGATATTGATTCTCATAGATAGATACATATTGGTAGAATTTAGTTCCATGTGTATTATACATAAGAGAACTTTCCCAATAATAGTCGAACTGCCCATCTATACAAGAATTTTCATAAGCAGAGCATTCAATCTTCGTCAATTTGAAGATGAACATAATTCCGTCTTTGGACTACGTTTTGATTTTCGTTTTATTTGCTTTAAATATTAACGCATAGTTTTCTTATTTACGTGTGTTTATTGATCATTAGGGTCATTATAGGAGCCAGACCACGAAGCGCTATAATTATTTTTGTGCCTAGGTATGGCCAAGCCAACTGTCACTTCACATGGCGGAGTTTATCAACCCAAAAGCGTAAGCTCTGTGTTGATATAGCTGCTTTATCTGTTCCCGTTCAACAACAAACCCAAACGAAAATACATCAAATTATAGGAAGACATGGGCATACCTATACATAATATATAATAATAATATATACATACATGCGTATGTATTTGCTTACGAGATTGTTAGAACATGCCTCGGGCTACTCTGAAGCTGTAGATAAATACAGAAATATTTTTCTTAAATCTGGGCTGGAGAATTTCAATGTCAACGGCACGGCGTATGCTAAGTATTTTGTTGTGTTTTTTTTTTTTTTTGATAAAGCAAAGGCCTAGCCAAMAAATATTTCACAGATGATATCATAGGGCATGCGATAGGGCCGAACGCGTGCTCTTTAAATTGCCTAATGCGTGTACAGCTCGTTTTCGTTTCATATATTTAAATAGCTGGCGCTGAGCCCTGCGGGTGACCTCTTTTCTCTAAATTGAAATTGAAACAGAAACAGAAACAGAAACCGCAACTGAAATTGAAAGTGCAGTGAGCACTCACTCGGTGCTCGGTGCTCGGTGCTCTTGTCCGACACATTAATTAGAATTAGAAATGCAATTAGAATGGGAGCGAGACGGGGCGCTCGCTTGATAAGAAGCATGCGGCGTGCTTTAACTAAATAGATGTAGCCGGACCGGGTTAAGCTGAAAGTACTCTAATCGCTCTGTATATATAGATCACTGACATTTGCATTTAAACTGAAATAGACTTTGAGATGTGCTACATAGAAAAACAAAATAAATATCTTTAGTCTTTGGGATATAGCACATCAAACAATGATATATCTTTTAGCTTTTGCAGAATAGAGTATATGGGGAAAAAAGGACCTATTAGATCTACATATTTAATAGTTACTAGTTATCAGATATTAATATATTAATGTAATATATTATTTTTAATACAATATATTATATATTTCACAATTAACCAAAGCCAATTTCTTTTTTCTTGAACAATCAAAAGGTCTGCCAAGAGAATCTTAGCACACAGAATGATCGCCTGTTGGAGCTGCGCGATATTGTTGCCAGAATCGCTGCCGATGTGGGTCTGGATGCCTCCTCGCTGATGCAAGGCGAGCTGGATGCGCTGGGTCAGCGTTTGGCCGAGTGCAAGGATGCCATAACGACGCTGGCGAATGTGGCCGAGACGCAGGACAAGGAGCGCAAGGAGCTCGACAAGGAGGTGACACAGGCCAAGGTTTACTTCAGCAATGTGCAGCAGGTGAGTGCAAGCCACAAACTAACGGAGTGAATGAATGTGGCCCAAGCCGCGAACCACTGGCGGCAGCTATCGATTTTAGAGAGCGAGAGCGAGAGCGAGAGCGAGTGCTCTAATGATGATTAGCATATATGGTTAGAGCGTGACGTGCGGAAATTCCCACAATGGCGACAACAACAACAGCTACAACAACAACGAGTTATAAAAGCAGGCGGACACTTGTTGTTGTTGCTAATRCAATATGAAGGACATGCTATTTTAAGTGGGCTAAAAGTTGAAAACTCTCGCTCCCCATGTCAATGCATGCATGCATACATGCATATTTATATATTCTGACAGTGGTCATTATTGATTGTGAAAGGGGCGGAAGTTTGAGTTGGGGGCGTAAGTTGAGTTATTGACCACGCCCCCTCTATAAATATACAACCTGACTAGCCAGCTGTCAGTCAGTCCGAGTTCATAATAGCCAACGCAACCTAACGGTTGCTTCTTGTCCCACTGTGCAGCCATTTGAAATTTCCATGCCAAACATACGCGAGTGAGTCTCTTCTGTCTGCCACCTTCGCCAAGCTGCCGCCCCCGGCCCCCCTCCTCAGGTGCTGCCCGTCCAGACAACGTTACAACGCGCGTGAGTCTTGCTTGCATGAGGTCATTGCCAGTTGGCGGAAAGAGTTGCAACTTTGCGTATACCCTGCAAATGGAGTTTTCAGTATGGTATATTGTTTTTTAGGCGGGAAGTGGCTTACAATACTTTTGCCAGTATTTCTGTTGGATTAGTTAAAAATAAAAATGAATAGTTAATTTATTTGATCTTAAATTATTTGTAAAAGGAAACTTCATTCGGTCTAAGTAAATTGAAATCAATTTAGCAAACTAATTTATTTAGTTCTTCAACTTCAAATATTTTTGAATATTAAATTTCTGAAGCAAAATAAACAAGTTTTTCCATAAGTAATTATAGCTACCATCGATGCTTCTATGATGCTCTTTCAGTAGTTTTCCCCTAGTTTTCACATACACAAAAGAATTCTACAGCATATCTGGCAGTCGTGTACACCTGGTGTAAAATGATGTAAAATATTCTTAGCTCGCTTTGCTGTTGGCCCATTGTGAAGCCGTGCATTGCCAACTGCAACTGGAGAGCGCCTTGTGCATATTAGGGTCAGGCCAATTAGCCATGCACAAAACGTTACCAAAGGGGGGAGGGAGGAGGGGCCTCAACACCAGCTGTAAAGCCCGTTACTAATAACAATCCTCTCATTCTCTGGCCCATAGGACATTTCGCGTGGCGAGCCACAGACGCCCAAGGAAAGCGAGGAGCAGCTGGCCGCGCTGCGTGCCCATCTGCAGACGCTGGCGCGCACCGAGGAGCAGCTGCGTCAGCTGCGCGAGCGCCAGCATAACAACAATGAGCTGGCGAGTCCCGTTGCGGCGGCAGTGGCCGACGACAGCATCTTGGAGGTGCTGGCCATGTGGCAGAAGATATTCCAGGACACCTTCCAGGAGTACCACCGGCTGTCCACGCGCTTGGCCCGCACCCAGAACAGCTCAGAGGCGCTGCGTCTGTGGCGCCAGTACCTGCAGCATGTGCAATCCTTCCTGGCCTGCGCCATACCCGAGGACTATAGCAGCCTGCGCGAGCAGCAGCAGCTCTGTGCCATACACCAGAACCTGCTGATCTCGCAGCAGAGCGTGCTGGCCGAGACCCCGCTCGAGTCGGAGCTGTCGGAGCAGTACAAGGCGCTGACCAACCTGCACAATGAGACCCTCTCGCGCATCATGCAGCGCAATGGCGAGCTGGAGCGCCGGGTCAGTGGCTGGAATGCGTACCGCCAGCAGCTGGCTGCCCTCCTCGACTGGCTGCGCCAGCGTGAGGCGGAGCGCAATGCTCTGCAGCTGCGCTACATCCACCTGAAGCGAGTGCCACACCTAAAGGCGCGCCTCGACGCGCTGCTGCTGCAGCTGACGCGCGGCGAGCAGCAGAGCGCRGCGCTGAAGGCGCAGCAGCAGCAGCTGCTGCAGTACTGCGACGATGCACTGGCCACGGCCATGCGCATGGAGCAGGCGAGCATCAATCAGCGCATCAGCAATCTGCGCGCCGCCCTCGAGACCTGGCAGAACTTCCTCAAGCGCATCAAGCAGCTGGCGGACTCGTATGAGCTGCGCGTGCAACAGCTGCAGGCGGAGTTCGGCAAGGTGCAACAGCTGCTGGACAGGAGCTCAGGTGATTCACTGCCCACAGCACCCGCCGAAATCGAGGAGCGTCTGGCTGCACTGAGGGCACAGCGTGTCCAACTGGGCGCCCAGACGTCCCTGCTGGAGAGCCTGACGGTTAGCCAGGAGGAGCTGAAGGAATGCATCAGCCCGCACGACATAAAGGCCATACGCCAGCGCAGTTTCCTGCTCTCTCAGCAGCATGCCGACCTGGACTATCAGCTCGCCGTGCTCATCAATGCCATCGAGGAGCGGCTCTCGCTGCTCTCCAACTACCAGACGCGCTATGGACGCATCTCGGACTGGCTGCGCAGCCTGGAGGAGCGTGTGGAGCGAGACAGTGATGTGACCGCCATGGCCAATCCCGAGCAGGCAGCCAAGCAGCTGGAGCAGCAGATCAACGGTGAGCTGCAGCTGCGTGACAAGGAGCGTGAATGGCTGCTCTCCACGAGCCGGGAGCTGCAGACGCTCTACGCGGATGCCACGCCCCAGGCGCAACAGGTGCGCACACAGGTGCAGCAGCAGAGCGACGCACTGATCGATCGCTGGAATCGGCTGAAGTTCATGTGCAAGCAGCGTGCCACCAAGATTGGCGAGCTGAAGCAGACGATGCTGCGGCTGGAGGAGCGCATTGCGCTGATACGCACCTGGTTGTTCGAGGTGGAGTCGCAGCTGGACAAGCCGCTCAGCTTCGATAGCTACACGCCGAATGTGATCAAGGCCAAGCTGAGCGAGCACGAGAAGATCCAGCGCTCCATTGAGAATCATAGCAGCAATGTGGGCGAGGTGCTCAACCTGGTCGAAATGATGCTCAACGATGCGGACAGCTGGCGCACCCAGGTGAACACCACGGGCCTGGCCTCGTCCGCCCAGAATCTGGAGCAGCGCTGGAAGAACGTGTGCAGCCAGTCGGCGCAGCGCAAGACTCGCATCCTGGACACATGGAACGCCCTGCAGGAGCTGATCAAGCTGACCACCGAGCACAAGAATTGGCTGGCCAAGCAGGAGGCGCAAATGTTGGTGTTCGAGCGCGAACAGAAATACGCGAACAAGCAGAAGTTGGAGGAGCGACAGCAGGCGCTGCGCGCCAAGCTGGAGGAGCTGGACGCCGAGTCTATAAATCTGCGCAAGCTGGAGCAAACCTATGCCCGGCTCACCATGAGTCCCGGCGTGGAGCCCGAGAACATACAGAAGCTGACGATGCCCACCAAGGTGATGCTGAGCAAGTGGCGTATGTTGACGCCGCGCTGCCACGCCCAGCTGGACGCCATTGACAAGGACGCCAAGCTGATGCGTGACTTCAACACGGCTCACCTCGAACTGACCAAATCCCTGGTTAGCATACAGAAGGCTCTCGAACAGGTGCCCAGCGCTGAGGATCAGCTGGCAGACAGCAACGAGCCGAAGGCTGTGCTCCAGCGCCTGGATGGGCTGGAGCGCAAGCTGCAGCAGGCCGAGCAGCAGGTGCAGCAAGCCAATGCCCTTGGCAAGGAGGCCGAAGTGCGCTCCAAACAGCAGCCGTCGCAGCTGAAGCATCTGCTCAAGCTGATTGCCGAATATACAACGCTTTGGCAGACGGTGCAGACGACGCTGACCACGCAGAAGATGAGCTGGCTGGCGCGTGCCACCAGAGAAGGACTTGCACTTGCGGCTGGAGCTGGTGCTGCATTGCCCGTCAACGAATCGCATGCCAGTGTCCAGGTGAACACGCTGTCCCAGCGCAAGCTGCGCCAGGCCCAACTGCAGCGCGAGACCTCAATCACGGCCAAGGATGCGTACATCATGGAGCTGCAGACGGCGATTATCGAGTGCCAGAACAATCTGGAGGAGCTGCAGCGCACCATCGTAGACAAGACGCGCAAGCCGGGTCCCCAGAAGATTGCCAAGCTGCTGGGCAATGCCCAGTCCTCCACGGAGCTAGTGAAGCATCTCAGTCATCTGCTGCTCACCGAGTGCCAGGCGGACAACGAAGCTGCCCAAGTGGATGTCGTGTCAGAGCTAGCGTTGCGCTTCGATACCCTGCAATCGCAGTGGAAGGCGCGCCAACAGCACGATCAAAATGCAAGGTAAGCCACCTCTCCCCATATCGATCTATATAACATGTAGGTATATATATGTGCGTATGTATGTATATATACTCTAGTTGTAATTCCTTTAACTAATATATATATACTTGCAAACTGCGCTCTGTAGATCGTTTCCCGTTATATCCGCTTTTATACTATTCGAGGCTCTTATCGGCACTAGGTAGCAAGTTACAACCAGGGATTAGCCTAGTAGGATCTGTTCGAACTAAATTTCCATTTCTCACCTGGGTCCACTTCGGGGCAGTCAAGCTTAGCAAGTTTCTAATTGGACTCAGTGCAAAGCAAGATTAGTTTTTCTCATCAATTACTCAATTTCCATATCAATGTACTGTAATTTTATACGTTTTGTATATAAGAATCATAAATTATATTTGTCATACTCAAATGAAATATTCTCTTTTTTTAAGTCTGGCTAAAAATTAGTTGTAAATTTCAGATCTCTAATTGGGAAGGCATATAAATGAATTTAATATTTTTTTAAGTAATGTAAAGTAGAAAAAATAATTTCATATATTTTTTTTATTATCAACGATTTCCTACAAGTTCAATGAAAATGGCAAATGGAAAATGTTATTAAAATATTAAATTTTATTAGAATTCTCAATTTCCCAACTTAGACTTTAGTTCTAAGCAATAATATATTATATTACAATATCATGCATATCACATATGTTTAATTAACTGTAGTATTGTCATCTCTGTAGTATTCCCAGAGCTCTTCTAAAGTTTGCTAGTATATTTTCTATCTCTTTTCTGTTAATTGTGTTTGGGTATATTTATATGGTTATATGGCTAACGACGTGTTTTATTGCTTTATGTCTCGCTCACTTACACACTCACACACACAAACACACTCTGCTACGTCACACACACACACACATTTCCAAATGCTTCACTTGAACCTGCGCATTCATGATGGCTCTGCGCCCAGCAGGTGCCTGCTACCTGCCGCCTACAAATACACATGCATACAGTAAGTGTTAACAGAGTTCCGCCTCTACCTAGCTCTACGTCTACCTCTACTCTCTGTTTACCTGTGCACTAACCGCAGATCTTACGTACCGCCAGGCAAGCTCCTACTGTGCGCCCTCTGTTTCGTGTTCTGTGTGGTCGTCCGCCAGACAAAAGCTGGCATTGCCTTCTCTCAATGGGCTGCCAGACTCCAGGGCGGAGCACAGTAACGCAGCTTGCCTGGAAATCTGCTAAACTGATCTATTTGAGGTCAACTTTGAATAGACACTCGGTGCAGGCTTACACTCTCCCACTCCATGTCCGTTCAGCTCGACTAATCACGCCCTCTTCTATCGCCCACACAGTGAGGTCGGCCGGCTAACGTGTCCGCTCTGCACGCAGCGCAATTGGCAGCAGATCGACAACGATCTGTGGCGCCTGGAGCAGTGGCTGCTGTTCGCCGAGAGCACACAGAAAGCACAGACAAGCCCGCCCTCGAACATTGAGCTGCTGGAGGATGTGACACAGGATCATCGCGAGTTCCTGCTGGATCTGGAGAGTCACAAGTCGATCATCTCATCGCTGAATGTTGTGGGCGACCATCTGGCCACCCACACCATGGACACGGAGAAGGCGCGACAGCTGCGCTCCCGCCTCGAGGCGGACAACGAGCGCTGGAACAATGTGTGCATCAATGCCACCAAATGGCAGGGTCTCCTGCAGACGGCCCTGATGGGCAATAGCGAGTTCCATCAGACCATCGATGAGCTGGTCGATTGGCTGCAGCGCACCGAGAAGAACATCAAGGCCTCGGAGCCGGTCGATCTGACCGAAGAGCGCAGCGTGCTCGAGGCCAAGTTCAACAAGTTCAAGGACCTGCGCGCCGAACTCGAGCGCTGTGAGCCGCGTGTCGTCAGCCTACAGGATGCCGCCGATCAGCTGCTGCGAGCCGTCGAAGGATCCGAGGAGCAGTCACAACACACCTACGAAAGGTAAGTGCAGCGGGCGCCAGTGCCGAGGGCGGAACGAAATGAATGCGTGGGTGCCATATCTGCTAAATAGAGATCGTGATGTGCGTATAGGGGGACAAGCAGCTATTGATAAAGAGCTAGTTGGGCGGCATTTATTAGAATATTTCTATTTCTTAGTATTTTCTACTCTTAATTTGTGTAGTCTTATTTTATTATATTTACTTAAATACTACTCATTTTTATGTGTACACATTATACTCTTATCTAAAGTAGAAATCCCCCTTTCCGTTCCCTCTCCTTTCCTTCCTGTAGTAAAATCTAGAAAATGTAGTGTTTGATATGATTAAATAATTGTCTAAGACATTTGTCTTATTTGTCTTACTCATATGGCATATAAAAAGCTAAAACTTAATAGACAAATTATATGAAAATTTAGCCAAGAACTTGAATTTAAAGATTTACAGCATAATATTCCGAAAATCAATTCACAAATTTTATTTCATAAATCAAAAACTTAATTTTTGTATTAATTTTTCAATTCATTAAAATAAAAAAATAAAAAAAAAAAAATAAAAAAATTCACTTAAAAACAAATATTATATCTTATAGAAAGATGAAATTTAAAGGGCAGAAAATGATGAAAACTTAGAAAAGGATTTGAAAGGTTTAAATATTGATTTCGTTTGCTTAAAATATATTCCAAAAAATATTCCGAAATTTTATTTCAATCATTCCACATTTTGAAAGTCATTTTTTAATGATTTCTCAATTCATCAAGAGCAATAAAAATATACTTCAAAATGCTTAGTTTTTTAAGATTAATTATTCACGATTGGCTTTGTTAATATGTTAATATGTTTATTGACTATTGGCTTCGTTCACAATTGTTATTTTATATGCCACGCCACATACCTGATCCCCAAATTCAAACATCTGAAAAAATTGTACTAAAAGTGTTCCTAGAACATCTATATTTTTGGTATACCACACACATACAACACACTCTCCTACTGTCTATCCCCCGCCCCAATCACGTAGCTTTATGGCTGCCCTTTTAGCTAGTTTACTTATTATGATTATAGTTAGAAAAATTGGTTTTGCTTATTCCTTTTGCTTATTATATAAATTTTTGTGTTTGCTGTATTTATCTTTTGTTTGCGTGTTTGATTTGTGTTTTTTACTTTCTGGTACTCAAAATTTGATTCGTCCGCCCATTCTAACCCTTCATCAAAACTGACAAACTTAAGAGCCGCCAGCATATGTTTTAAATATTCTAGAACACTTTCCAGGCTAACCGATCTCCGACTGCGGCTGCAATCCCTGCGCCGTCTCTCCGGCATCTACATCGTCAAGCTGGGCGCCGTCCTCGGCTACGAGGGCGACAACCTGGGCGTGCCGCTCCAAATGTTGTCAAATGAGGTAAGTGCAAACGATCTCTCCTAACTCTAATTCCGATTCAAATTTGATTTGTCCCAAGAAAAAAAATGTTTAAATATTTTGATTTTTGTAAGCGCACCAAAGTAAGTGAAATATTTAACAAACTAAAAATTGGCTCCAATTGAAAAGCGTAAAAAAAATTAATTGAAAATTTTAACAAATGCAAACGAAAACTGATTTTATTATTTTATTTTAATTTAATTTTTGTTTTTCTTTTTCCTTTATATTTGTATGGCAATTCTAGCTTTTGGATAATACTACATTATCAACCTCTTCTATGCAGGCCGCCGCACCCAACACAGAAAATGCAAAGTAAATATTCAATAGAAAATTTGTTTAATTTTGTCAATTTTCAAGTAGTTTAGTTTCTTTTCCCGTACGATTTGATTTATGTTCAAGCAAAAAACACGCACAAGTACAAATACTCTCAGTAGTTGGCACTTGACATAAATAAAATACATATGTATATACATAGAGTATATCCTAAATATGTCTAGCATGCTTCCTATATAGTTTCTCTGCGATCATTTCAATATTTTTACTAATCTATTTGCTATTCACAGTCGCAGCGATGGCGATGCTGCCGATGGCGATGTCATCAATACCACGGTTCTGGCTCGAGGTGCACGATTCCTCGGGCGCGTTGCACGTGCCTCGCTGCCCATACAGGCGCTCATGCTGCTGCTTTTAGGTGTGGCAACACTGGTGCCCCACGGTGAGGACTACACCTGCATGTTCTCCAACACCTTCGCTCGGAGTCTGGAGCCAATGCTATCCTATCCGCATGGCCCGCCGCCAACGTAAGCCCTGATGGCGTTGTCAATTGGATTAGTGCAATAAATTCAGGGTCAAAACATCCATCCCTCCAACCAAATGTAATTAGAGTACACAATCCAATTACCCCCACCCAACCCCCAATCCCCACAACAACACGAATATGCCTTTAAAAAATTATTTAAAAAAAAGAGCAAAAACCAGAGACAACACAGAAGAAAAAAAAAAAACTAATATTGAGAGAAAAACACAGTATACCATATTATTTTATGTAAGCGAAAATGTTTGTAAACAAAATTCTTGTACAAGATATAAAACAACCGATCCAACCCGATCGCGTGTGTTAAGTCATGTAAATTTTTGTAATTTTCCACAAAATGAAACTAATTGTATATATATTATTTTTGGTAGCAAAAAAAAAAAAACATGCCGAAATAAATATGTACAGAAAAAAATAATGATATATACAAAAAAAAAACCTACTCGACGAGCATAAAGCAAGAAACACTTGATAAAAAGCAAAAAAAAAAAAAAAAATAAGAAAACTAACGATACATAACGAAACACTTTTACAAGAAACAAAAAAAAAATACATATATTAACGATATATACATTATACATATATATTTGCACAGCAAAAAAAAAAATATATATATATTCTATATAAACCTATGCCCAAAATTATAATGCCCAAAAAAAAAAATATAAAAACTAAGCTGATAAAAATTAAAACGAAAGCAAAAAAAAAAAAAAAAAAATACGCACACACGAAAATATGCAACGAGTAGCGCATGCCTCTCCACAGTCCCAGAGCCATTGTGGGCGTGGTCGGACGAATATCGTGGAACATGTTCGCCCGGCCCGGCCAGTGAGCGGCAACCTTTAAGACAAACCATGACCCACATAGACCAAATTGCCAGTGCGTGAATCAAGAGTCGAACTACGACTCCAGTCAGCTGTCGCCTTCATCTCCCAAATTCTGGATGTGGCTGCTGCGCTGGGGTTGCGTCTTGACTCTTGCTTCGCGCACTGGGCAAACTAGATGGCCTCAAGCTGTCTGGGGATAGACGCTGCCTGGAGCCAAGCTCTCTCCCACGGCTCCTGAGCAGCGGCTCTGCAGTTTTTAGCACCCGCCACAGGTGTCGCTGCAGAATCCTCAACTAACCATCTCGCAGCCAAGGCTCTCTAAAACCTCAAAGCATTCCTGTAACTCATTTCCAAAATTTGTACCATAGACAGATCGAAAATCGAAAAACAAGTTCACTAGCTGTTGCCCCCCTCTGAAGTTGGCCTGGAGAAGCGTGCGCGAAAGGTGCAAAACGAAGCAAGTGTCCTATGCCGGTGCTAAACCAAATTAAAACAATTTTCTTAAAAAAAAATAATAATAAAAAACTGACAAATTGCGTATGAAGAAAGTTGAAAGAAAAAAAAAAAAAAAAAAAAAAAAAAAAACGAAAAATGTTGAAATAGCAATGGAACAGGTTATCTCTCCATCCAGTAAAAAAAAAAAAGAAATAAGAAATCAAACTTTTTGTTAATATTTTTTGATAAACATTATTCTATTTGCCTTATTAATAATACTATATATTTTCTTTCTATTATTTAATGCCTCGGAGCGCAGTTATTGAAGAAGAGCATATATTTATTTAAGTTTACACGATATATATACAATATATTTGTTTATAAGTTGATTAAAATGTTAAATTTTTTGTGTGTTTTTGCTGCTTCTGTAAATTTTAAGATTTCCTTTCTTGTGAACAACTGTACCTTTATGCATATATATTAAAGAAATATTTAAAAATAAGTTTCGAGAATTGTTTTTATTTTTGTATATATCTTTAAAAAAAAAAAACAGTGAAAATCTGTCTTAGAAATCTGCGATCCATTGCGCTATGATCTTCGCCTCCAACTGACGTGCAGCCGTCACCGAGGGCGGATCCAGTGGATTGCTTTGGCGCAGATCCAAGTGGTGGGCGCCCTCGGGCAAAATAATGACATTTATTTGATTGTTCGGCGCCTGAAGGACGCCGCCACCGCTCCAGGGATCGAGCAGACCATTGCTGAAGATGATGTTGCTAGCCGCCTCCAGATTGCGGCCACCATAGCGCATCACGATGTCGTAGGGCCTAGGAATGAGATGGAATTGCTTGTAGCAGTCGTCCGAGACCTTCTTGAAGTCCCAGTTGCTTGTGCGGAACATGGTGTTATTGTTGTTGGCGCACATTGGCATGACCATCTGATTGCAGCTCTGTATCTCCCAGCCCGTGCCGTCGTAGCTGGCGCCGGCATTCGAGTCCTTGTAGTCCAGGCACTTGACGCTGCCCGTGTAGTTCGTGTAGACAGCCAATGCGCTGGCCATGCTGGCAACCAGATCTGTGTCATTCTGATGCAGATCTTTTAGGTAGAAGCAAAGCTGGCGCACAGGATTCGCGGGTAGCGGCGACAGAAATGTGGAGCTGTACGGATAATTGGCCATGGCCAGGTTGCCGTAGATCTCCTCCAGGTAGCTCATGAACGTTGTCAGATCATCTGCATTTTTGATGGCATCGCAGACATGGAAGATATCGCTCAGTTGCTTCTTGCCGGCATCTGTGGCCGCCATCGACTCGAAGACCTTCCAGGATCTGCCGATGTTGGCGGTGCAGTTGGCATTGTAGGCGTTTTCGAACACCGCGGTGGTAATCTTGTCGAAGATGTCACAGGGCGTCAGACCGGAGAATTGAAGTATGGGCGCCGAGGCGGCCAGTGCGCCAACCACAATGTGTGGATACTTCATGCGAAACCAGGCCGCCAGCATGCCACCATACGAACCACCAAACACCACCACGGGCAATTGTTTTCCATTGCGCAAATAGGTAATGAGCTGAGCATAATCCTCCAGGGTCTGCTCCACGGTGAAGTATGCCAAATGCTCGGGCTTACTGGTATTGAAAGTGTCGGCTCCATACGGCAGTGACTTGCCGTAGTAGCGATGTTCGGCGAAAATAACCAGCGCCCGCTGCTGGGCCGCTAGCTCCCAGACGAAGCCACTGTTCTGGGCAAACCACTCGATGTCGCCTTCATTGCCCGTGTAGAAGAATATTGGGGGCTGCGGATTCTTTTTGTCCACATAGGAGTCGTTGGCCAGATAACGTATGTTGAAGCTCGCATTGTTCAGGAAACTGAAGTGATCCAGCGGCACGGAAAACTCTTTGATTTCGTATTGGAATTTCTCGTTGGCTAACGTGCCGGGCTCCAAGGCCAAAATCAATAAAGCTCCACAAAGTGCAGCAATCATTTTGATGTGCACCTAATGACTCAGATGTTTTCAATTAAATGGTTTGATTTTGTAATCTGCCTTTGTTCTGCTCTGCTTCGGTCAAGCCGGCTTTTCTGACCCCCTTATCTAAAGCTTAAACCAGTGTTTTATAACGTATAAATGTTCAGCTCAGAGATTCTTTTTGAGCTTAACAGTCGGCTGGGGCAAGAAATGTTAACAGGAGTTGCTATCATAAAAAATTTCAAATTTGGTTTTATGAATCATTTCATATATTCAAAATTTATTACTTAAGAGCTAGGATGAATCGTAATGACGAAAAACATTACATAATCAAATTAAGCAGTAAATGACTTTGTTCGTCTCTGTTTGCCTTCAAGTGGGCATCAAAATATACGTTAAGTAAGACTACCATTTGAGTTTAACAGTTGACGACAGAGCACCTAATGTTGGCGATAACGGATTTTTGAAAATTGGACAGCTACGTGTATATTAATAGTATTTTGTTGATTAAATAAGAAGAAGCTTAACAATTAAAAACAATAAGTAAATAAAATAGCGTAACATATTTTCTTTGCTCAAACCGGCTTCTTGGACGATTTTTATCAGAAGCACGAGCCAGCGTTTCGAGATATGCAGACTGTTAATTACGTTGCCATTTTGAGTATTACAGTTGACAAGTGCTCAAATTGGGAAAGTTAACGGTTACTTGAACCAGTGCTTGACATAACAGCTCAAGGAATCTAAATATCGAATTGTTTCTATTAATAATAATTGACTGGATTGTTTGTTTCGCCTGTGTGATAAATGTCATATCAAATGAAAATCGAGTCTCCAATTCCGGCCCGTACGCATTTGAAAAATGCTAAAAACCAAAACACCAAACAGCATCTGATAAAGATGACCAAATGCGCCAACCTTTTCGTAGAGCATCTATATATGTTGCGCTTCTTTTAATACTCGAGGCTCTAACCGGATTGCTGATTATCATCGCTACTGGCTTCTATCAACTAATCTTGTCCAACTATTTGGAGGATCTGGATCAACGCTTGCTATTCAGTTATCTGCTCAACATCTATATTTTTGGGGCAGAGGTGACCGTGACGTTCCTCTGCAGCCACTCGCTGTGGAATCGCCTGTGGAAGAGGCGCTGCACGCCCAACGTTCGTTTGATGATCTCCGTTTGGCTGTTCTACTCCTGTGTGCTGATCGCATCGGGCTTTGGCACCGTGTGGAACATTTACTACAACATTAATGTATTGGAAAACACGGCGCAGAACTCGCTACTGCGCGGCATCGACGAGTATTACACATCGCCGGAATGGAAACTCCTGTGGGACGGGCTGCAGTTGCGCAGGCAATGCTGCGGCGTCTTCAGCTACAAGGATTGGATGGAAGCCGAGTGGATGCCCCGTCAGCTGGTCAACAGTTCGTGTCGCAATCGGGTTGTGCTCGCGCCCATCGCCTGCACCAAGCGCGACTGTGAGGCGAATCTGGTCAGCCACGAGGACTACGGACAACACAGACGTACGCCAGTGCCCACGTTGACCCTAGACTCCATCAACACGAATGGGTGCCTCGCTCTGTTCTCGCAGGGACTGATGCGATATTTCTACATACTGCTCGGGCTATCACTGATGGCCCTGAAGTTTCTGGTGGGCATATTATATATGTATCTGTATATCAATTTAATATACATTTTTTGTTTTAGATATTTTTATGTTGCTTCACCAAGTACACTCTGCACCGCCAAAATGTGGGCGATGGCTGCGATAATGTGGGCCTCACCGATGAGGATGGCCGTCCCCTGGTCATGGTCAAATACCCGAGGAATGTGCGTTGCGTTACTGTCAGCGAGGATGATCTCGCATCCGATATGGCACCGGAGCCGGCCTATTGCAATTGCGAGGAAGTGGGCGAAACTTGCGATTACTGCGACGGTTAGGATTAGTATTTCATATATGTATATCGTATATATTTTATATATTTCTGAATTATTTGTCTGTTTATGTGTTATTTATTATTATAAAATTAAATTTAGCATATTTATGTATTTCTTATATATCAATATTATATAAGAAATATATAATATAATATTCTTTTTTAACAGCTGATATAAAATTATATTGTCAGGTCATTGACTTCAGTTAGTCATCGATAGTTAATCATATCGATGGCTTAGGCTGTCGATAGTTGTCGTGATTGCGATGATGAGTAACAGTAAAAAAAAAGAAAAAGATCGACAGAGTTGAATTTCATTTTAAAGAGCTGAAGAAAATTAATAAAAAGGACTCCTACGACATTTCACAAAATACCGCGAACTCAGCTAAGGCCTAAGACTACAAAAGCTACCAAACTCCAAAAAATACTTTTCTCAGCTCTATTTGTCTATTTTGCTGAGCAGCCTGGTTGAAATCCTCGGTGAAAAATAACGTTTCATCTGTCACTTATTTTTGTTTACAGTTTTTCTCTGTTTAAAAGTCATGTGAGTAAAAATAAGAAATAATTTATAGTTGAAAAAATAAAATTGAATTAATTTTAGGCCGTTGAAGCCTAAGGTGCCCCACATTGTTGGGGACGACGACGAGATGAGTGATGTGAATGACCAAGCACAAATGTCGGATGCAGTTTTAGATAGAGTAACGTCACAGATCCCAACGGAAACTTCGAGCTCTATGGCTTATGGCGAAGAGAGTGAATCGTCCTCATCGGAATGCTCCGAATCTTCGGATGACGACGGTAGTGATTCAGAGTGAGTATTTAGGAGAAATTAAAATTTGATTTAAAGAATATTTCCTAAATTTAGCGATGAGGATTCAAATAGCTCTGCTGAGGAGAAGAAAGAGAAGGAGGAGGAGGAGGAGGATTGGTCTAACAGTATCTCTTACATAGTTCGCACTCCGTAAGTTTGCCTTTTCTATATCATCTTTCATTTAGCCAAAGATTACAAATTATAGAGTACACGAGCCCGAAACTAGCCTGGGTACTTCAGCTATCTCCGCCTCCATAGTTGCCTCAGAAATGGAAACATCAGAAACAGAAACTGCTGAGATTGAAGTAGAGCAGATAACTGATGAGGCAACTATGGAGGGCGATGATAGTAATGTTAAACCGGGGATGTTAACATTCACTGTGCCTAGTTCTCCCGAAGAGGAGAGCTGCAATGCAACACGTTCATCGCTAGATGTGGAAACGGATCCCGTGAATGTGGACTGCGACCAGCTGAAGGCCTCATCCGTGGTCAATCCAAATGTGGAAAATAAGGTTTTGGATCTGTCGCCAGTCCATCGTCGTCGCTCTCTACGTTCGGCCACCCGTTCCAATCCAGCCAAGTACTCGGCACCACCGAAGAAAGCTGCAATTGCTCGTCCACGTCAGCGCAAGCGTAAGGTCAACTCCGTGTCTACGTCGCCCAACTCAATTGGCGCACGCGTGGCCAAGCGACCGAGGCATTCAAAACGCCTGACTAAGTCTCCAGCGAAGAATTCAGATGCGCCCCTAGCTCGTCCTATCGAGGTGACCGAGTACTTCACCAACATCTCTGCCACCCTGGTCAGTCATCGGATCAATCAAGTGCCTTTTCTGTACCTGCGCAGGCACATCGATCGCCTCGTTGGCGAGGCGCTAGCCAAGACGAAGGTGCATTAGGAAAGCATTCCAGCTGACAATGTGCGTATTTATTTCCAGCTGAATAAAGACAACATATAATTAATGAATGGGAATAGTTTATAATTTGTGAAGCGCCAATCAATATGAGAATAATCACACTAATTGGAAAAGCAAGCCACTAGGGGCTTATAACGGGCTGGCTGGATAAGTCGGAAATGACGGCGCTGCTTGTGCTGATTAGCAGGCGACTTGGCATCTCGCCAATAGACGGCAATGTGGAGCTCTCACTGAAGGTGGACAGCGTGCCCACTTCATCACAGCTAACGCCAGAGTCGCCGCTGGTCATTGATATGGGTGTGACATCCGATGAAGCCGAGGCCTCTTCGGGTTCCATAGTTTGGCATGCGCGTTTGGCGTAGAGACCACAGTCCGGCTCGTTGGTCTCTCTTTTGTGCGGACGCACTTGGGTCGGACTCCAGTTGAGCTCGTGATGCACCATAGCCTGCACCTGCAAGTGTATGGGATTGCTCGGAGGACTGTCGCACTCGCGCTCAAAGCTGCCCGTCTCGATGAATACATCGATGGAGGGCGGCGGCATGGCCGGCTCCACGATCATGGTGGAGTTAACCATCATTTGGAAATCAATTTCGCTCTCCTGCGCAAACGATTTAAACATAATAAACTGTTACTAATTTGTTGTTCGCTTCACTACCTACCAGAAGAACGCGCTCGAGATTCGAGTACTCGGGTCCAGTGTAAGATGAGACGGACATCTCCATAGCCGCCGCCACTTGGCGCATTTCTTCAATTTCCATGCCATCTTCATAGACGCCTGCGCCGGTCAGAATCTCTTTTAATTTATTAAATTTGCTGCGCAGTTCCATTTTATTCAAATAGTTTATAATTGAGCAAGGCAGATGTAAAGCCGTTATTTGAAAGCATGCACTGGAGGTGTGCAAACATATCGCTTTAAACATATCGATAAGTGAATAACGCAGTGAGTATTTTTTTTTAAATTTATCATTATTTTTGTCCGCAAATTATACACTTAATCAATATAAACACTTTATCTTCAATGCTTCCATATGTATATGCTTTCAGCTCATTGTATGGAAATTAATATATCTACAATAAAGTAAACAATATTTTTTTGGTATTTTTATGTAAGCAAAATGAATTAATTTATATTATAGAATCCCAAATCGTTTATTGAAATGCGCTACTTTTACGCTTTTGTTTATGTTGATCATCACTTTCAAAAATTTAAAAGTTAAAAAAGCATCGCTCCATTTGGTTCGGAAAACTACTGTGCTTCGTTTGTGTACAGTGCGCTGCAGCGTTTCGCGACCTTTTGGGTATATTTGATTGCGCAGCAACGAACTTTTGACAGTAAGCATGAAGAACATGAGCTTTTGGCGGGCGCATAAATTTATTTAAAAAATAGCTTTTCGTTTGAAAACAGGTTTTACACATTTACGATTATTAAAAACTGTTATATATTTAAAGTGTAATTTAAAAGCAACTTTTTTAAGGGTCGCCGAAATTGTTGACACTTTTTTAACCTTTCGCAACAGAGTTAGCAATTGGCATGGAAAATTAAAATAAATGCGTCGCTTTTTGCTAGCCAAACAGCAGCAACAGCATCTGACCTCTGACCCAAAACTAACGACAGCAAAGCTAAAAGTTAGGCAAAACGTCAAATCCCACTTGAAAAACGTTTGGCTTTTTCTCGACGTTCATTCATTACAAAAAACAGCTCAAACGAAGGGCAGCAGTGGGTATGTCGGCATGTAGTAGGTCCATTTTTTGAGCCCCCATTTAATTCGCGTAGTTCTCCATAGTTCATCTGATAACTGAGTAAAAGTTGGGTGTGAAACATTGAAAAATTAGTTAATTATTTGTATGTATACCTACCAGCGGTATTTTGCTGTATGTTTTATTTATTTTAACCCATATTTATATTTATCTAAAATTATATTAAAATTTATATTCTTTCTATATATTTGCAAATTTCTATCATAAATAATATCGATAAAAATATATTATTTTTGTTGACATTTAATAAAACGAGACCTATCCTCCTTGTTTATACAAGAAAATAATAACATTTAATAACATTGGAAATATATTGCAAATATTTGATTTTTGAATAGCATTTAATATGATATTTTTCATATTTTTGCTATACAATACCAAAATATATAATTCAAGCGAAAAGTTATTTCATTGCTTCGGTTCGGTTTGCCATTTTTCCCCCAATTTCTAAAAATCCCCAATGGACGTTGTCTTTTGCGGCCGCCCGCACTTTGCATAGTTTTTTGCGGCACTTTTCAGATGGACACTATAAAATTCTATATAGATTCACGTTGATAAAAAAACCTTCGTATAAGATTTTTGCTTGAACTAAAAAAGAAAAAAAAAAAAGAAAATTGTTTTATTTAAAACGCTTTGATCCCGGCTCCATTAAGAGCTTAGCGCCTTTAATTAAAACATTTAAAATAGCTTGTTTGAAAATCAAAAAAAAAAAAAGAAGAAATTTGTAAATATTTGCATAGTTTTATTTTTTGCAGCCGGCTCGTCCTTATGCACAGGCATAGAGAGAACAGCGTATAAATTTGCTTGGACAATTTACGGGCAAACATGAAAAAAGTGTTTCCAACCGTTTTTGTGGTAAAAATTATGCTATAATTCAAAAACAGCGCAGCAAACACACACACATACATATGCGTTTCGTTCATTAGCACAAAACCCACACATTAATTTCATATGTGCATGTGTGTGCAAGTGTATGTGTGTGTGTGAGCTGCTAATCTTAAGGGAGTGTAAAAAGTGTGTGGATACAGTACATATACATGTGTGTGTGTGTGTGTGCGTCTCTTTCAGTGTCTACGTATGTGTTTGCTTCTGTGTTTGCTTTTGTCACCATAAAGGATATAAGCCATGTTTTTACTGCAACGTCTATGTGTCTGTATCTGTGCATATGTGTGTGTGTGTGTGTATGTGTGTATGTGTGGGAGTTACTTTATGTAGCGACATTCGCTGCAAAGGGAAAAAAGCAAGGAGCAGAAAAAAGTGCAAGCTTTCCGGTTGGCGCTGCCTTAGTCCTTGCTTAGCAAGGACCAGCCAGTCAGCCAGCCATCCAAGCAGGCCAATTTCCAGTTTCGGTGATAAATTTCATATAATAAAGAAGACATTAAGCAAACGCTGGCGAGAACCGACAGCAGCGACAAGGACAACGACAGCGACAACAAGGATCGCCCGCTGCGCTCTGCCCACACACCCACACAGAGAGAGAGAGAGAGAGAGAGAGAGAGAGAGATAGAGAAAGAGAGAGAGAGAGAGAGAGAGAGACAGAGACACAGTTAACACCTTGCACTAAAAAATAATATTATGCTTGCTTTTCAAAATGTATATTTTAGCGTGTAAACGCTTTAACGTTTATCCCTCTACATTGAGTTGCTTGCCCATAAACTGCAACGGAGCATATTGGCTGTTGGCATGGACTGCTCTCACTCATCCCGCTTATCCAGTAGAAGTTAGAGATTTGATCTGAATTATGTATGACTGTAAGGCTTTGGCTCATTCAGTTCATCATCAGCTCAGGAGTTACTCAACTTTTGGGTATGTCAACCGTTTAATTTACGACGTTATCAAAACTTCGAGCTTGATATAGTTAGAACTAGCTTCATATGTATCCTACTCATACATAGATACTATATAGCATACGTTTGGAATTGAAATACTCTAGTATACCAAATTTTGTAAAGTAAGCACCTGTTGATAAATTTACGATTTTTGAACATATGGAAATTCCAATCAAATCAATTTTTATTTTGTATATCTTATCCTCCTAAGTATCTATTAGATCCAAAAACGACAACTTTTCAATAGCTTCAACAAGTTTTTAAACAAGTATTATGCAGTCGGCTACAACGTTTCTTCACCGTACTTTTTCGGCATTTTTGCCCGCCAGCAGTGTTGCACAGCGCTTTGCATTTTTACCGCATTGTTTTTAGTGCGCACACATAAAATAAGTTTATTATCACAAATGTATCCATTGAACCATCTAATGTCTAATATTCGAGCGCATCGCATTCAAAATTTTGGTTGTTATTTAATGTTTATGTAAATTGTTTATTGATTATGATTTTGATTATTAAGTGCAGTGCTGAAAAACGCGCAGAGGGTCAACTGTGCGCCGTCCAGCCACTCTCCCAAAAATTATGCAACATGTGTGCTTTATTGCTAATTTAAGCTGATATTATTTGACCGTGATGCTGTTGTTCTTGTTTCATAATGCAAATTGAAAATTTTTAATTAATTATTCACTTTTTGATTACGTATATACATATTTCGATATAAGCCACACAGGTGAACTAAGCTTGATATTAATTTTGTAACTTTATGAAGTGTGTTTTATGAAGTATTTAACTTTAAGTTTATGCTAATTTAAGGCTGATCAAATTTATTTTCCTGCATTATAATAGAATAGGTAAGTGAAAGTAATATTACATTAATTTAGTACCTTTGTTTCTGAAAGACGAGAGGAAAATATGTATTTTTGTATTTATAATTTACTGAACAACAAGGATATTCTCTTACTCTTATCATATTACACAAGTACTGTATACATATTAAACTCATTTATGCCGTATGATTGTTGCATTTATCTTTTGGTCTGCAAGGTCTTGCCAGGTTGTTGCGGGCTGGGCCAAAGCTTGGGGCGAAACGTAAAGCTGTGCAACAACATGTCGGACAGTTCGCAGCTGGACACGCAATGACAACTTGGCTACCTGTGTCCGGCCCGGCCCGGTCCGGCTTGGCCAGGTGGCTGCTATGTGCTGGCTCCCCTTATTGTAGTTGCGGCAGCTCTTGCGTTTGACACTGGCGAGCGGGCCAGACAATCAAAGTGCAACGAGACAGAGAGTTTAAAGTGGCACCGGCCACATAAGAGCAACAAAATAACAAACGCTGTGACAGCAGGTGGCCGGGGGGTGGGCGGTTGGCTGACAGATTGTGGAATATGCAACAGCCACAAGCCAAACAAGCGGCAAGCAGCAAAAAGAAATTACAAGCAACAGAAGACACAACAAAGTTGTCTGGATTCGTTTGCGAATTTCCATTTCTGTAGCGAAAAAAAAGCCAACTGCTGTTGCTGGCATGCGGCATGCGGCATGCGGCATGCGGCAAAAAAAAATTAGATAACAGTTTGTGGCCACAGACGCTGCCGAATTCAACAAATATTAAAAAAAAAACAAGCAGTTGCATATTTTGTTTCGTTATTCTTTTCCCTTTTTCATTTTGCACAAAATTTACAATTACAAATGCAATGCGAAAACAAAAGACAAAAGCGCGTTCTGAATTAAGTGCAAAACGAGTGCGAGTGAGACAAGAAAAAATTCTGGAGAGCTTTAAAAAAAAGAGAGATCGATCGTCAAATACTCTGTACTAAAGTTTAATTACAAAAAAAAAAAAAAAAAAAGAAATGTTTAATAAATTATGAATGTTTTTGTAAATTATATTATTTTGTATACAACAAATATAAATGGTAAATATTTATATTTAAATTTAGTTACTTTAATTGAAGCGATAGTAAAAATTAAAATAATTTATTTAAAAGGCAAACACTCTCATACTGCTGCTCATACTGCATATTAAGACCCCTCTTGTGTAAGCATTTAAATAAAGTATATAAGATTGTCGAACATGCCATCTTCTGTGCTAAATATATGCACACATATCCATTTATAGCTACAGAGCAGAAGAAACGCCACAAAAAAATTGGCATAAAATGCAACAAGCAAAAAAAGCGTTTGCTTCGTTAAGTTTTTAGCGTGTGTGTGGGTTTGTGTGAAACATCAACAACAACAATAATGTGTTAATGTGAACACATACAAGCATAAACACACATACACACACGCGCACGTATAGAGGCGCACATTGCCATTGGCAAATACTCAAGCATACACACACACACACACACACACACACACACTCAGGCATACACGTAGAGAGATGAACGCATGTGTAATGTAGCCGCAGAAAATGCAAAACACATGCGACGGATGAAAGAAGAATACACGTGAAGAACGAGAAAGGAAGACAGAATTTTGTCGTAGCGACGTTTCAACAGAGCAAGCACGATAAGCAGCGTGGAGCAAAAGAGAGTTAGTGAGTGAGGAGAGAGCGAGAGAGAGACAGATAGCGTCGTTGTCGAATGCAAATGCAATAAAATAAAATACGAAATGCGCTTCACGAGTGAAGCAAAATGTAAGCGAATATGAATGCGAATGTGAATGTGAGGGTGAATGTGAATACGAATGTGAGTCGGAATATGGGAATATGTGGCAAATTTAATGCGAATAAAGAAGAAAAGCTTTCTTGAATTCATTGAATGACTGCATTATGCAGGTTAAATTGTGAAGATGCGTTGCGAGTTCCTTGAACTGTGATACATTAAATAAAGAATAAGTTAAGCAATTTACCTGTTCGATAATATGACTTGAAATTGAGTTACATACAGTTACAGCACATATTTAACAACACCATTTATTGCCAAATGTGCTCTATATGGATACAAAACTGTCGAATTAATCTAAAATAATCAATCAAGCATATAGAACAAATAGTAATTCACAATTCATTATGTCAATAATATACTTGTAATTATTATGCGCTAAAAATACGCGAATTTCCAATAAGCAGCCAATTTAATTCGCAACTGTCTCGCCACAGGCAACAAAATATGCACAAATCTAAATTGCAGCGCAGCAACTGCAATTGCTACCTCATACATTTATACAAATATAAGTACATACATACATACATATGTTACATTTGCGCCGCAGGCGACTCTACACATGCACACACTTGCACACACATACACTCTATTTACTTAGTATAGATATATTATGCACATCTCTACACTTTCATCATTTGCTGAGTTTCTACTATTTTTTTTCTCTCTCGCTTTTCATTTTTTATGCTTGCTCACTTTTCACTGTTAGTTATGTCTGCTTGCGGGCTGCTTCTTTGCATGTTATTTATGTTGTTTAGCATATATATATTTTTTTATTTAGCAGCCGCAGCCGCAACAACAACAACAACAAAAACAACAACGAAAGGCGAAGGAAAACTAAAAATAAATTCATGCACTGCACAAAAGCAGCTGCAGGATTTGCGTTAAGTGTAGCATACTTTTTAGCGCCGCCAGGCAAGCTCCACGTGTGTGCGCGCGACTGTGTGTGTGTGTGTGTGATAGTAAATTAGTAAACAAATGCACATAATAGACAGAATTAACAAAAGCAGCCAAATTAATGAAAGGCTCTTTGCTCTCGTTCTCTCTCTCTCTCTCTCTCCCTCTCTGTGAGTTTAAGTCGCAGAGCTTATGAAAAAATAAGGTTAATTACCCTTTGAATATTAGCTTAAAATGCACTAAATAAATACTACTTGCTTTGACACAAGTTTACTTTACTTACTTTGCATATGCTGACTAAGATATATGTATATAAGCTTGTTTTTCATTTACCTTAAATTAGCTCTATTCAAATTGCTGCAAGTACTTTAAAATTGTCCAACCATTTGCGCGTTACTTGTAAAATATTTCTGAAATCTGCATGAGCAACAAATATTGTGAATTATGCATAAATATTTGGAGCCAATGATTGGGCTCGAGTCGGGGGAGCAATGAGCACAAACGGCTCGGCCAAGGGCCCCCAGAGGCCTTCACACAGGCAGCAAACAGCTGTGCAAGAGTAACAACAACAACAACAACAACAACAACAGGCAAAGGAGTTGCTAGACTTTTGCTTGAGCTGCAGTAGAATATTTTTATTTTGCATGTTGTTCAATGCTCTCGACTTCATCTACACAAATTTCTATACGTTTTGTACCATTTATTTGCATTTCGCATTTGTATGTGTGCTCAGCTTTCTCTCGACTCCCACCCCGCCTTCTGCTCCTTCCGGGAATGTGTTTGTCTTTCCGAATGTGTCCTTTAGTCATGTTTGATTTGCAATTTCGCACAATCGGCAAATCCCCAAAATTGCCAATAAATTTGTCCTATTGACTGTGTCGGACTACAAATTTCTTGCTGTTGCGCTTACTTGGGCTGCTCTGTTTCGAAAATGTGCAGAAGACTAGACTTTACATTTACAGGCGACGGCAAAGAAACAAGTGAAAGTGTGAAAGTCGAGAGTATGGGACTATATGATACTCTATTTACAGGCTTTCAATTGGTTTTCTTTGCTAGGTGAAAACTCTTATAGAGAAAGCTGATAGACGTTGAGTTTCTGTAGCTATAATCGATAATAATTATTGATTAAAATTTGTATTTATCGATAGCGATTTATGTATTCATGTCAACCCATCAGCTAAGCAAATGTCTATCAATCAACCAATCTGTTAGTCAACACTACAAATTATATATTCTATGAAAATATCTCTAATAAAAATCTATTTCATCTTTTCATTAAACTTGAGCTATGTCCATTTATAGATATATCTCTCTAATATACACTCTCACACATTGAAAGGTCTGCCTCGCCCATGGCTTTGTAGTTTGGTTTTGATTTTGATGAGGCAATATCATAGGAAATTAAGTGCCCATTATGGCATTTCATGAATTTGCCATTGGCTCGAATGGTGTTCAATTGAATATTGGGCTTCAATTTGATTAGCGGATAGAGCAGCGCTCGCCCAGATGCCTTTTGGCCACGTTTTATGTTTTCATCGTGGCAAAGGATTTTACCATTAAATTTGCTTGCCAGCTTTCCGCCACATTAGGCAGCTGTTATTTGGCTAATTTTGCATCTTTTGGTAATATAATTTACACAAAATAACACACGACTGCACAGACGCACACACACACACACACACACACACGCATGTATTGACCACGCCCCCTTTTTGGTTGAAGGGGAAGCAGCCATGCAATTGTAGCAGCTGCCATTCCCTTTTGGCTGCCTGACTGGCTGAATGAAGCCACGCAGCACTCATACGCCGCGTTGAACGGCGCAAAGTTAGCAGCGTAACTGGAGGCTGTTTAATCAATGATTTGGAAATACCTTACGCTACATTAATTTCACGCTACTATTTCTCTGTGTGTTGGGCTTTATACATATATTTTTTGCTTTGTCCGTGCTCAGGGTTGCGATTTGAAAAGGGTTTCGCTTTCGCTTGCAGCACTTATGCAATTGCACGTCGATTTTAATTAACGCCGAAATTCCGTTGAGATTTGTGATATAAGTGCAATAGATATATGTATATATATATTTTACGCTGGTTTTGGCTCACATGTTCCCATTCAAAGTTGAAAATAAACTAATCTCTTAGTCAGTTGGGTTGCTGTTGCTGTTGCTATCGCTGCTGCTGCTGCTGTTGCTGCAGCCATAAATAGCATCTGAATTATGTTAATGGGTATCGAACGTGCTCAACCCTTGTATCGACATTAGAATTATTTGCAATTAAATTAGTTTATTGCAAGGCAGCGACCAGAAGCCTTGCCGCACGTTTCATACATTTAACATCTTCACGCCCAACGCGTGTGACTTGCAAGTTTTTGAAAGTTGCGTTGACTTGAAGTTGTAGGAGGTTGTATGTAAATTGGGAATTGGAAATTAGTGTGTTATAGCCAAGAAGTTGCTAGATGGAGTTAGACTTGAGAAGTAGTTTCGTTACTGCCTAAATTTAGAGATGCTTGAGGACATTGCCATTCATGCTTTACTCAAACTGATTCACATAGCTTGTTTACATACATTTTAAAGCTACGACGTCTGCATGGAAAATATCGTTAGTTATTTTTAGAAATCTTGTATATAAACATGTTTACATATTTTTACACCATCAAAGTAATTTCCAGCAGGTATTACACAACGTTGCTGCAACTTCTTGGAATGCTTGTATTTTATTATTTTTTGCTTTCGCTCAGCTGCTCCTTTGATGCTGCTGTTATCTCCTATCAAGCATAGCTTTTATGGCGCCAGGTTTACCTATTTTTCAGGGTCTAGCGTATTTTTTAAATAGAGCTCGTATCAATATTGGCATAAGCTAATTTGCAGATGCATTTTT